ACCCCAAGGCAGCCATCTGCAGTGAATTTAAAACTCTGGGAGATGAGGAAAGAGGCGTCTTGGGCAATCCGCCTTTGCTGCCTTCAGAAGGGACACCGGATTTGCAACTTCCTTTTGTGATCACTTTCAAAAATTGCTTGTTAATTTATTTATTTTTTAGAGATTTTGGGAAACTTCAGAAACAAGTTCTTACAATACTAGTTGAATTTCTTTCCGTCTTTAGCGAAAGAAGTTTTAAATACAAGTTTAAGGATATTTTTGTGAAATAAAGAACAAAATGATTGATTTTAGAAAGTTGCAAACTGATTTAAGAGTCCAGATATATTTGAAATAATATTTTGAAATTCATTATACGACTACTTTCTGTGGGAAAATGCTGTTGTTTTAGAAAAGAGGATAGGATGCTACCTTGAAGGTCGGGCACTAGAGGGGAACTAGAAAGAGCCAAACAGCACAATTAAAAGAGAACAACACTCCACTCTGACTTAATATAATATAGAACGGAGCAGGAAATTTTGACATTGGACTTACCGAAAGACACTTTTGGACAGTGGAAAGGGGGGAGGGGACGCTGTGTTTGTGTGGGGGAAATCGGTTCCACTGGAGGCAGTAACCAAATGACTTCCCACCTGTCTCTTCATTTTACCTGTTGCCATGGAAACATGGACTCCCCGGGTGGGTAAGGAGCCCATCTGCCAGTGAAAGGCTAGCGAGGGAGGGAGGCGTTTGGGGGGGATGAGATAAGGGGGTCCAAGGGGGGCTTACCTTGGGGTCTGGCTGTGGGAGGCCCCCCGGCGAGAGGGCCTGGGTGCTTTGTGCGTCCCTAGATATTTGGCAAGATGCAGAGAGTGAAGCCGGCCTGAGGTCTCTCGGCCCTCCTCAGAACAGGGGGACGTTGCCCCGTGTTGCCCCACGACTGCACCCAACGGGGAGAGGAGAGCCTGCTGGGTGGGGCGGTCCCTCCCTCTCCGCCGAGGAAGAAGCGGGCAAGGAAGGCAGACCCCCCCCCCCCGAAACCTGGCCAGGAAACCTGCCGGGACTGTCCAGGCAGTCGCCACTGGCTCAAAGGGCCCCCCTCCCCCCCTCCCCCCGACGCCGCATCAGCGGCCTTCGCCTTCTTCCAAGTCCGGCCGAGCAGCCTCGAGGGCCCCCTTTGGCCCTGCGGAGAGCCTGACTGGCCCGGCGCTGTCTTTCCAGGGGAAGCTGACGGGGCCCCTGCTCGCCGCCGTCTCTGTGGCGGCCATCGGATCCCTCCAGTTTGGCTACAACACGGGAGTCATCAACGCCCCCGAGGAGGTAAGCGGGGGGGGGAGGCCTGGGGAGGCGGGGGGGCGCTTTCCGTTACCCGGAGAATTTGCTGCAGCGGCCAAGACGGGGAGGCGTCGGGGAGACCCCGAGGGCCAAGGGGGGGCGGGGGCGTCGCGGACCCGGCCAGGCTGCCCCGTGGGAGGACGCTTAAGGGAGGCGACGGAGCTGCCGGCTCTGCGGGGGAGCGGAGGGCTCGTGGCTGCCGGGATAGTTTTGGGAAACGGCGACGCCGGGACTCGCGGGTTTCCACGGAAGCGGGGGGAGCCTCTCCCGGGGAAAGAGCGCCGAGGGGTGCCGGGCCCTGGGGGCAGAGGGCGGCTCGGAGGTGGGGCCGGCCGGGGGCGGGAGGGAGGCTGGTCTGAGCCCTCCCTCGGGACGGAGAGGGCGTCCCCCGCCGCGGCCCTGGAAGCCGACGGACTCGGCTCCTCCTCGGCCGAGTAACGGGCCCAGCAGCGCCCCGAAGAGCTGAGCGAAGAGGGGGAGAGTCCGCTCCCCGCCGGCCCTTTCTGGGGCAGGGCTGGCCCTCCCGCCCCCTCCGCCCAGCCGGGACAGGACCTGCCTGGCTCTGGCAGCCGCTTCTCCACCGCTGGGCTCCCCTCCGTCCGCTCGGCTGGGGAGGGCCCGGGAGAAAGGGGCTTGTCCCCAGGCGGCCGAGGGGGCCTTGGGGGTGGGAAATGGGTTGACACAGCGCCCCCATCTCCGGAGCACCTTCTGGTTTCAGTCCTGGAAGCGCCCCCTTCCCCTTCCCCTTCCCCTGCTCTCTGCCTCGCCCGCCAGAGAAGGAGCAGCCGCGCTTCCTCTTTCTGTGCTGATGGGGCCCCCCACATCTCGTGGTGAGGCTGGGGGGGGGCTGTTTCTGCAGACTGCCAGCATGTCTGGAGATGGAGCCCCCCCCCGGTCCCCAGGACTCCTGGGGGGACCTTGGGCCAGTGGGGTTGTCTCTTCTGGGGAGAAACATGCAGGCATTGGGCGACAGAGGGAGTGGTTGGGCCTCCGTGCTGAATGGGGAGAACCGAGGCCTGGGGGGGTCCCCTTCAGGTCTCACCAGGGGTGGCTGGCCGGGGGGGGGATGTCCTGCTGCTTCGCGGGAGAAGAGCTGCCTTCCCCTCCAGAGAACTTTGCCAAGGCACCACATTTTTTCCACAACTTGCATGGTTGCGCATTTTTAACAAGGATCACTCTAGCTCCATTTTTTTTGTTTGTATAAACCCCCTTTATTTATGCAAGACCTGAAATTAAGGAACAGTCTGACAAGGATAACACCCCCCATCCCCCCCCCATCCCCAAAGGCAGCAGCAGGAGTGGAGAGTGGAGAAGATCTTGGGAACTTTGCCTTCGGCTGAGATTAAATTGGGATCGCTAGGACTTTGGAAAGCCAGCCCTGCGAGGTAGTCCAGACGAGAAGCACAGCCAGGACTCCTGGTTCTATTTTTATTGCAAGGTTGAAAATATTTGCCCCTGCCTCTCTTTCTAATCTCTGGAAAACTAGGGAGGGTCCCCCCTTGCAGCGCCCCCCACGCCTCCTGTGGGCGGAGGCCCCTTTGCAAGCCCCTCCCCAGAAAGCCTCTTCAAGGCTGCTGAGTCACAGAAGGGTGGAAGGAGCAAGGACAGCCAGGGGGGACGGAGGCAGGCCAAAGGCTTAATCTCTCCAGCTCCTTCATCCTGCCAGCACCTCCAGCTGTCATCTTTTCCACGCTATGGTCAAAATATGGGAAGGAAAATGACTCAGGGAATTCCAAATAATTTGTGTCTCTGATCAATTAGGCCACTTAATGAAGACGGCAAGGACGGCGGAGGAAATGCGTGGGTCGCGCTCCTCGTCACTCCTCAGGCTGGTGATTCATGTGCCGCATCCTGCCCTCCACGCTCATGGGTGGGGGGGAGGGAGGGGGGAGACAGGATAGCGGCTAGACGGGCTCCTCTCCTCTCCGAGCCCCCGCAGGTCTCCGGGCTGGCCTCCTGCTGCCCCCTGGTGTCTCCGCAGAGGATCCCTTGCCCGGCTGCCCTCTGTGGCTCCCCCTGAAAGGGGCAGCTGGACCCAGCCCTGCGTGGTAAGGGAGCTGCTGGGGGCAGCAGGGGGATTTTCCCCCGTTTTAACAAAGCCCCCATGCCCTTTTGGGAAGGAAAGCCTTTTACCTCCCTGTTAACAATTTAGCCCACTGGTTCTCAACCTGTGGGTCGGGACCCCATTTGGGGTCGATCGACCATTTCACAGGGGTTGCCAAGCAAGTCTGTCCGCCATTTTTTTGTCCACCATTTTTTTTGTCCGCCATTTTTTCCCCCCTTTTCCGGCGGGTGCCTTACCTCCCTTGGGCTGGGCCAGCTGGTGGTCGGCCTGCTCCATCTCTGCCGCTTGCCAGCTACGCCTCGGCTGGCGCAGGGGGCGGAACCACGCATGCACGGCGCTCCCGGGCAGGGAAAGTCCTCGACTTACGACCGGTTGGGTAGTCCTCGACTTACGACCTGTTTAGTCCTCGACTTACGACCGCTTGGGGTCGCGGCATTAAAAAGGTTGAGAACCACTGATTTAGCCCTTTGGGTCCATTTAAAGAGCTACAAATAATAAAACATAACTCTTTAAATCTACCAACCCACGTTCCGTGGAATAAACCTGGTGGGTATCGGAGGAGCACTTGATATTCTTCTAGTATCGGGTGAAAATACAAGCACACGACTAACGTGAGAGCGTAAGCGGTTTGTCCTCATGAGCGAGAGAAAAAACTGACTTGTATGAACATTGAAGTTACCTGGCCAGAATTTACTAAAGAAATTTCCTGATTTTTCAAATCTTGGATGCTTTTATTGTTGACTTCTGCTTGTACATATTGATTTAATCCTGGGAACATCTACAGTCTGATGATCTTTTCTTTGATACCCGTTCTTCTCCCCAAAAGGATCATTCTGGAGGTTTTTCTTCAAAACTGCAGAAAGTTCGACTTTGATTTTTGTTGCTGTTATTCTTGTTCAGTTTATCCAGAATGAAAAGCCATGAATATAATGGAATGTAATAAGATTTTCTTCAAGAGGAATGTGTGAGGGGCACAAAGAGCTTCTTGAAATGATTATTTTGCTAGCTATTTTGAGAGAGATAATTTGGTCCCAGCTGAGCCAAAGAAGGTCCCCCCTGGAGGACATTGTCTTGGCAAGGAGTCTCCCGTCCGCTCGTCCTGGTCCCCCCCTTCCCCCCACCATGGATGTCCCGTTGCTCTTTGCAGGGAGGCGTACTGCGAACTCAGGATGGGCAGCAGCCAAACGCCCCCCCTGGGAAAGTTGTGTGAACACAACCGCAGGCCTAACGATGGGCAGTCTCCCCGCTGCCTTGCTTTGCTGGAAGGCCGCCTCTTCAGGAGGCAGCGGGGAGCCTCGGCTTGGCCAGGAGCTCCTCCTCCACAGGGGGTCTTCACATTGGGGGCAGCTTGGCCGGGTCGGTTGGCCACCCCTGCTCTGGGCGTGGGAACTTGCCAGGCCTCCTGGCTTGGTGCTTTTCCTCTTCTCCTGGCCGTCCCCGATGAGCTGACCGCACCCGCTCTCAACTTCCCCCCCTTTTCTTCTTCCTGTTCAGAAACCCGGAGCTCCCTTTTCTGTCCTTGCAGATCATCAAGGGCTTTTTCAACACCACCTGGATAGAGCGGACGGGACACTACATCCCGGATAGACTGCTGACCGCTCTGTGGTCCATTTCGGTGTCCATTTTCTCAGTCGGAGGGATGATTGGCTCTTTCTCCGTCGGGTTTTTTGTCAACCGCTTTGGCAGGTGGGTGAGGATTGGCACAGAAGAGGGGCATGGGAGAGGAAATGGGCACGGGGGCCCAGGTCTGAAAGGGGCCCTGAGGTGAAGCTGCTGGGGGTTGAGTCTGGCCAGGGAAGGGCCTGGGGTAGCTCCCCCCCAGGGCAGCCATTAGGAGACCAGGCCTTCAAGCACCAGGCGCCAGTGCCAAGGAGGGGAGCCCAGCTGGGCCTCCCCTGTGGGCACCTCTGTGCCATGACCGGCAGATCGTGGCTGTCCCAGAGACTGGTGAAGCCCTGAGATGTTGTGGCTGCTCTCTGAATTCGGATGCTGTGCTGGAGCCCCACCCAGAGACACCCCCCTCTCTTCTCTGACCTTTTCTAATGCTTCTTTCAATTCTCTCTCGAACTTTTTTCCCCCCTCTGCAGGCGAAACTCCATGCTGCTGGCGAACGTTCTGGCCATCGCAGCTGGCATCTTGATGGGCTTCTCCAAGCTGGCCAAGGCGGTGGAGATGCTGATCATCGGGCGCTTCGTCGTTGGGGTCTTTTGTGGCCTCTGCACTGGCTTTGTGCCCATGTACATCAGTGAAGTCTCCCCGACTACCTTGCGGGGGGCTTTTGGCACCCTGAACCAGCTGGGCATTGTGGTGGGCATCCTGGTGGGCCAGGTGAGCGAGCCCTCGTCCCAGAAGTGTGGCTGTGTTGGGCGGCCTTGCCTTCACAGGGCAGAGAGGCCAGGGCGTGTTCACTTGGCCCTTTGGCTTCCTGGGGAAGAGATTGATGCTCTGTGATCCGCTGTGGGCGGTGATTGCGCTGAGCAGGAGAGGATTCCTCAGCTAAATCAGTTTCCGTGGGATCTGGAGCAGCAGGGGGACTTCTGGGTCTGCTCAGTCTGTGGAAGGCCAAGGATCTCTTGAGTCTCAGCAGCCCCAAGGAGGTTCTCCGGAGGTTCCGAGGAAATCCTGCCCGGCTGACTCCCTCCCTCCTCGCATTTCGGTTTCTGGGGATGGGGCCTGACACCCCCCCCCCTTGTGCCCCTCTCTCTCTTGCTTGGCCTCAGATCTTCGGCCTGCATGTTATCCTGGGGACGGAAACTCTCTGGCCTGTCTTGCTGGGGTTCACCATCATCCCAGCCCTCCTGCAGCTCCTGGCCCTCCCCTTCTGCCCGGAGAGCCCCCGTTTCCTGCTCATCAACAAGATGGAGGAAGAGAAGGCCGTCAAAGGTATTCGTCCTGCAGCAGCCCTGCAGAGCTGCACAACGGCACACCTGTTTTAGCAAAACATTTTGCCAGGCAGGTGCTAACCCCAAAAGCATTTTAGCAGTAAGTGAAAGGATCGGTGAAAAGGAAGACTTTGATAAAATAATACCTGCTAGGAAGAGGGTTCCTGGGAAGGGCACAGCAGCCTTCAGAACTTGGCTGTCCTTTTCTCCTTGTTGAAAGAACGGCAGCGGAGTCTTCACAGATTTCACTGCCGGTCCGGCCGCTCCATCCAGATCGCAGAGGGCTCATGACAGGAGGCCTCTCTGTTGTTTCCGAAGGTGGATCTCTGCCTTTCTTGCCTCCCCTCTTCTGAACCGGCAGGCACAATTCTCCGCTTGTTCTGAGGCTGAGGTCCTGGCACGCTGGAATGTAACACCACACAAAAGTCCATGTGTGTGCAGAAGCCTCTCCTCCCTGGCCACGAAAGACTGGAATATTAGCCATCCGTCATCTCCAGGGCCAGTGAATGGGGCTCCTGTCCTTACCTGGGCAGGACGAGTAGTTCAGGGAAGGAGAACCCTTCCTAGAAATAGATTGGGCACAAAACTGATGGGCCCTCTCCAGCGCCTGACCCAGTCCACGTCCTCCTTCCCTCAGTGCTCCAGAGCCTGCGGGGTGTCCAGGACGTGTCCAGCGACATCCAGGAGATGAAGGAGGAAAGCGCCAAGATGTCCCAGGAGAAGAAAGTCACCATCCCAGAACTCTTCCGCTCCCCCAGCTACCGCCAGGCCATCATCATCGCCATCGCCTTGCAACTCTCGCAGCAGCTCTCGGGCATCAACGCGGTGGGTCCCCCAAGGGCCAGTCTCCATGCTGGACCTGCTGGAAGCCACTTGTCTGGCGGGAGATGGGAGGAGCTCCCTGGGAAGGGAGGGGAGCAGCCATAAGAGGGGAACTCAAAAGGCCAGGATGTCCGCTGCAACCGTGCCATTGAAGCCGTCCCTCTGTTGCATGGATCAAAAGGGCAGGGGGTCAGTGGCACAGTGACATTGTGGGTTTGGGGATCTTCCTGTGGACGCACCTGGCGCTTTTGTTTGGCTTCCTGTTTCACGCTCACTGGGGTGAAAGAGGGTCCTCCCTTTCTCACCCGTCCCCCAGCAGGTGCCGTGTGCTCAGAGCTCAAATTTCCCTCCCGGTTCTAAGCACCGCCCTCCACCCTCGGTCTTCCTCGCAGGTCTTCTACTATTCCACTGGGATCTTCAAAGATGCTGGAGTGGAGCAACCAGTTTATGCCACCATCGGGGCCGGCGTGGTCAACACCGTCTTTACTGTGGTGTCGGTACGTGGTGATAAAGGATGGGATCGCCCTGCATTGTGGGGGCCTGAGGCGGAAGATCCTCTTGGAAATCTGGAGGGACTTGCCAGAGAAAATGTTCCTAGCCTCAGGGGCAGCTTTGGGGGGTGGGGGTGGGGACCCACTATGTTAAAAAAGGATGGGGCTTAGATCACCCGAGTATGGCTGACATGTTGACCTAGAATGGCCTTAAGATGGGCATTACACACTCTGGTGCCCACCAGACGATCACGAAAGGCTCGTGTGCGTGTTGCCTTTAAAGTGTGGTACCACATTGGACCGCTGTGTGGAGAGGGGATTCCAGAGGGTGCGGTTCAATAAGTTAAGGGTAGCGGTCACAGCAACGGGATCCAATTTACCATTTCACAGAGAGTTTTTTTTACCGTTCTCTGGTGACTGTTCCTACGGTTGCAGAGAGATTTGCTGTCCACCGCAACCTTATGTGTCCCCTCCCCATTCCGCAGCTCTTCCTTGTGGAGCGAGCGGGACGTCGGACCCTGCACCTGATTGGTTTAGGGGGCATGGCTGTCTGCGCAACCATCATGACGGTGTCCTTGGCGCTGAAGGTAGGCAGCAGCATTTCTGCTTCCTGGTAGCCCCCCTCCCAGTTTGGACTGAAATGAAGTACACACCCTGAGGAAAGAGGACGGAGGCAGTTTCGTGTCTGGACTTACATATCTTAGGGGGTTCTACCCTCCCCCATTCCTCATCCCCATGCGGAAAACCACTGATTTCTAATCAAGTCTCCTGGCAGTCACAGATTGTACAATCTAGCTGGGAAACAAGATAATTGAGGTCACTTTGCCCAGCTGCCCCTTAGAGACAAGAGACTCCCTTCCACGTGGTTCCTAGGAGAACAGGAACTCCTTGAGATGTCCTCCTCCCAAGCGATTTAGGCATGCAGGAATCAAAATCGAGGTCATGAGCTAGGGTGGGACAATGTTCTTCTGATCTCGATCATTTAGCTTTGGCATTTTGTACAAACTTAAGTTTCTGAAATTCCAACTGAACTTTGGACTCCCTATGGGCTCCAGAGATTTCATTAGATGTTGTTGTACCCTCATGGGAGAAGAACAGGGAAGATGTGGTGATAGTCCAAAGAAGACAATCATGAATGTCCACTATGGACAAATGCCTATTACAAAATGGTCTTATCAGGGCCGAGTTTAGACCTACTAAATACCTTACAGTCCATATTCATCCCAGATGTTGCTTTAGCACTATCGTAGTTATCGAGAGGCAGAAGGTGGAAATTTAGCAAGCCCTTTTCCCATTTTTTTTTGACTAAAATATTTTGCTGGCCAAGCAAGGCCAGAAATAAGAATGAACTGGTTGCTGCTCATCTCTGCTCTCCAAGGAAATCTGGAGTTATGCAGATTTCTTGGACCATCTGACCCAAGAAAGGTTCCTGGTTGATCAATTCCCGGGTCAGCAGATGCTAAGAGTTGGGATCAACCAGTGCTACCCTGGGATTACAAACGGTTAACTCCGCATCTCTGTTTTTGCAGCGCATAGTGAGGTGGATCAGCTACGTCAGTATTTTTGCCACTTTTGCCTTTGTGGCTCTCTTTGAAATTGGACCTGGACCGATCCCGTGGTTCATTGTGTCCGAACTCTTCAGCCAGGGCCCTCGTCCTGCAGCTGTGGCGGTGGCTGGTTTCTGCAACTGGGCCTCCAACTTCCTGGTGGGCATGCTCTTCCCCTATGCAGAGGTAAGGCCTCCGCGTTGGACCTTCTTTGTGGGCTTGGTGTGAACACAGTGAGGTCTGCTCCTTTCCCCTGAAGTTGGCCGTCAGGTGGGGAATAGAAGGAGGAAACGACAAGCACTAAAAGGGGGCCAAGAACTGCAGGTTGCTGTTGTCAGAACGGCTGTTGAGAGGGAGAACTTGCTTCACTGCAGTCCATTGCTCGGCTGAAGCCCAGTAGGAGAGGCTGTGCATAAATATCAGCTGGAGCAAAGTTCTCACTTCTGCTCCTCATGAAGAACCAAACCATAGGAGGTCCTTATCCTTCCACTTCCTGCTCCTCGAATGTCCTTCGGTGGCCCAGAGAAGGAGGTCTTTCTCATTACGGCACGCCATCAGTCTAGTCTGGCCGTGTCACAGGGTGTGGCAGAGGTGATGCTTCAGTTTGGTAGGGGGGAAAGTGGGCTGTTGAATAAAGACCGGGCCCTGACCCTTTGCACCTTGCAGACCAGAGCTATTGTACGTGTGAACTTTCAGGCCCATTGTCTTAGAGCAAAGATAACATTCTGATCATCTTCCTTGCAGAAATTATGTGGGCCTTACGTTTTCCTGATCTTCGTTGCCTTCCTTGTCTTCTTCTTCTTCTTCACCTTCTTCAAAGTCCCTGAGACAAAAGGCAGGACTTTTGAAGACATCTCCAGTGGGTTTGAGAGGCGAACCGCAAACGGCCTTGCTCCAGCGACTGGCAACAAGAGCTCAATGGTGGAATTAACTAGCATTCAGCCCAAGGAAAATGCCTAATCCCGCCATCCTTGCTTGTCTCTGAAAGGAGCTCTCCCTTGTAACCACTGCTGTGACCCCCCCAAGTCCTCCGTGTGTTTTCCTGGTCCTTGCCGGGACTTCAGTGCTCCGCTAGGACAAGGGAAAGGCGGCTGTTTGTCCTGCCGTTCTCCTTCCTTCCGGCCACGTACCTCTGGAGGACTGAGGGACGGCCGGCCCTTGGAGCTCCTTGAATCCTTCGTTACCTTACGTGGAGGCTAAACCGTTTTTGTGTCGGTCGCTCATGTCTTAAGAGGCCAGTTCCTTGTGAGTTAACCCTCCCTTCCTCCCGATGTTTTACAGTGTTTCCTGCAGGGTGAAGTGCAACACACTGGAATTTACTTCAATGCCAGGGAAAGAGACATTTTGCCCCACTTCGTCAAATGGTGGTTTACTTTTGTGTTTGGGAAATTATGGCCAGAACTACTTTTTTATTTGCCAGATTTAATTTATTCCTTACGTCACTTTGCTTGGAAATATTTATTTTTATGCAATATTCCTCTCCTCTGAGTATAAAGACTAGAAATAAGTGTAAGATGACCTTAAAAAAAAAGATGGTGGGATACCAAAGAGACCAAGGGTGGGTGGTGCCTCCCTTGAGTCTGGAGAAGGGGACCCCCCCAGCTGACACCCTTGGAACCAGCCGTTGAGGGTCCCTTGAAAATGGGGAAGTTAAAGGCATGGCGTGGGGAACACAGGTGGAGGGCGGAGGTCCTGCCAGTCGGGAGGGAGACCTGCCCCTCCCACTGGGGAGAACCCCAGGCCTGCCTGGATAGGGTGGGGGAGGGGGAGCCTTGGGGTTTGCACCCCTTCCCTAAGAGCTTCTGTCTGCCGGGCTCTGATCCCAGGGAGCCAGCTGGTCCTCTGCCCGGAAGGACTTGCCTGGGGCATCTAGGGGGGGGGTCCCTGATGGGGTCTGAGGGACGGCAAAGGCAGGGGCTGGGGTGCCTTCTGGGACCAAAGACGGTGGGCCCCATCATCCTCTCCCACTTTAACAATTGGGGCTGCAGACTTTGAATTCCCGAAGAACGGAGGGGCAGGGCAGCATTTTAGTGCCAGCCCCAAAGAGCGCCCATTCGGGGGTGGGGGGGCTTAGATAAACAGCAAGATGGCCAAGATGGTCCTGGGGCTGGGGGTCTTCTCCAGGGTCCCCCTCCATCCAATTACTTCCTGAGGGGGTGCCCTTCCCCATTTATCTTAAAGGGGCAGCGTTGGAATGGTGCAGCTGCAGCCCTTGACCTTTTTGCCCCCCCCCCAGACATCCCTGGAGTGGTCCTTTGTCTTGTAAAGAAGGCAATCTAGAGCATTTTTAATTCTCCAGACACTTTTGACCTACCGATTCTGGTGACTGATTTAATTTCCTCCTTTATGATATGATTACATTAAAAAAAAAACAGATGTTATTTGCTAAAGTGTATTTTTGCAATCTTTTGTTGTTAGATGAAATCAAAAGCGAAATTTTGAGGATGAAGAATAGGCAGCTAAGACTTCAGGTGAAGGAACTTAAGAGACCAAAGCTATCAAATAAAAGAACTAAAGTATAGTTTTTTCCTGATCTATTTATTTATTGGAAAGAATTAAAGAATTAAATGATATATATTTATATAATGTGAAGTGACTTTGCTGGTTGCTCTTTCTATGGCCAGGGGACAAAGTCCTAGTCTGGATTAAGAGCTCCCAGGGGTGTGAACCTGCCTCGGGGGTCTGGAATAGACCCTCCTGGGCCCCCCCTCCTCCCGTGACTCTGTTGGGACGCTGCTTCTTCTCCGGGACGGTCACAAAACTCCCGGCCAGGAAAGGGACCCACCTTCTCCAGCTCAGCCTCTCTCTGCTGGGAGGGATGTTGGGCAGCTACACGGCTGTAAAAGAGAGGCTAAGATTGAAAGGTAGACGGGGGATACGGCGCAAAAGATGCGATCTTCCTGGATGTGTCTATGTCTGGTTTAATTGGAAGCTGGCAAAAGGGAAGGATGGGCAGGGGACCATGGTTTCTGGAGTGTGGCTTGACTGTCTGCTTCAACCGACTTCTGGAATAGTTTGCATTCTCCGCTGTCCTCCTCCCCCCCCTCTTCCTTCACAAATCTGTACCTCATCTCCATCCTGCCTTGTTTTTCTGAATACTTAAAAAAAATATATCCTTATTTAGCCCACTGTGGGGAGTGCAAAGTATTCCACACCTGAAGTATGTGTGTAAGTTTTTGGTTTCTTGTGTGGTGAAGATTTCCAAGGAGTTTTATAAATGTTATTGTGAATGTGCCATTTTTTTTTAAAAAAATAATAAAACAAAACAAAACTTTTGGCTGGATGTGGACCTTTCTGTCTTTATTGATCCAAATCTTAACTTTTTCCTTCTCCTACATTTGAAAGAAAAGGCCAAGGCTTTACCTGTCCAGGTTCATAGGGCCCCACTGAGCCTAGCAGGGCCTTCGCCAGAGCCCCCCCCCCCGCAGCCCCCTGCCTGTCTTTCCATTCGCAGCCCAGAAGGGCAGAAATGACTCCATCCTCCCTGCAAAATGGCCTTCGTGGTTGAGGTTGTCTGAACAGCCCCACCAGGCAGGATGAAGGCGAGCACAGCGCAGAGGGAGAAGGAAGCCCCTTAGGGAGGAAAGTGGGGGGGCGGGGGGGCTGAGGGACTTATGGCTTTGCAATTGCCACCCTTTGCCAGCACAACACAACACACACTGTGTTGCCAGCTGCACCGTGTCCCAGAGCAGGCCAGTCAGTAGCTGCGGAATGGGGCAAATCGCGGAGCTGGTTCTCCTTGGAAAAGGGGGGTCTGTGACCCGTTTGGTTTTGATTCTGGTTCCCCACAAGCTTCTCTGGAGCTTCAGCTCTGAAGAAAACTCGGTTGGGAAAGGAACGCTGTTGATTATGGTAAAATGCCCAGCAGGAAGGGATTTGGTGATTATGGTGACACCCCCCCCCCAAAGTCCTGAGCTCAAATCAGACCAGCCCTCGCAAACAGACCATTGTTGGTCTCGTCCAGCACAGGACATTTCCCACCGCTTTGTCTCCAGGGTCCTTGTGGTCTTTTTATTCCTAATTCTTCATCCCTTATTCTTTTCCCTCAACTTCTGAGAGCTCATTAGCTTTCTGGCCTTGGCATTTGGACAGCTGCATCGTCAAACTTTACCCTTGCACAGAAATCTATCTTTGAAATTGGGTTTTCTGTCTCCCTTTAGAACAATCTCTCCCAAAATGACAACAACACACGTGCTTTATTAGAAAAAGAAAAGTTTTCAAAGAAAGCTAAAATAAAATAAAAATCCTGCATTTGTGGCATTTGGCACGTCTTACCTCCCTCGTTTGCTTAGAAGCCAAGAGTCATTGGGCATTTTCCTCCCCCCCAAAAAAACCCGATGGGAGAAAAAAAAAAACGGGAAGCGGGGGTTTGTGTGTTTGAATCTCTCTCTGGATCTGGGCAGTCAGATTGGCGGTTTCCAGGCCCCCCCTTGCCCAGATGAGAGCCACTGCTCCAGAGCATGGACTAAGTTCACCAATCAGGCTGGTTCCTTTTCAACAAATGCTATCTTCATCTTTCAACTGTCATTTTCCAATCATGTGACTCGGGTCTCCATTCTACACATTCAGTTATATCTGCCTTTTGGATTTTAATCTCCTTTTGTTTAATCAAGGGTACTCCGAGCATCAAGGCAACGTTTGTTCAGGGTTTTCACCAACTTTTTCACTGGGTCCCCACGAGAGCCCTGTTCCCACCCAATTATGCAAGGAACACGTTTTATTTGTGATGGTTCCTTGGGGCGTCACCCCCAGCATCCAAGGGGTTCAGTTGGAAGCAGGGGTGGGAAGGCAGCCCCGGGATGGCAGCCCCAGTCGGGCCTTTGGAGCCTCCAAACACCTTCATGCTCCCCCCCACCTGATCCTGCCAGGCGCAAAGCTCCTTGTGCAGGAAAGTGGAGGTCAGGAATGAGCCCTTCCACAAGGCTGTGTGTGTGTGTGTGTGTGTGTGTGTGTGTGTGTGTGTGTGTGTGTCTTTGGGCCAAATGTGGAGTTCCTTTCCCTGCCTAGAGCAACCCCACCAGGCGAGGGGAGAACGACCCGGGGAGAGAGCGGTGGGTTACTAAACAAGACATTTAATGGGAATGCTGACGTGTGTGTCAGAAAATTACATGTTTTGTGTCAGTGTGAAATGGTGGAGCAAAACAGGAGGACACACAGCCAGGATTGCACAGCCAGATGACTTTTTCCACAATAATAGAATGCACTATTATTTGTAAATACAGAATTTCTATATAATCCCTAGAATTTAAATTTAGGAGAATTTCGTTCCACAAATGCAAACATTTCACATGTTTTAAATAAAGTATAGCTAAGAAGAATTGTATTTTGCCAATCTGGACACACTTACGTTACACTCTAGTTGTAATATTTTTTTTGTTTTTTACAGTACTTTGCATCTGAAATACCGGTTGGCATGTGAGAAAATTAGATTTCACAATGTAACAGTGTAGATTTGCTCTTATTTTATTTCATTTCTGAAAAGGTGTCACACACAATGATTGGCAAGAGTGAGTTTCTGTCATGCTTTTCTTTGATCTTTTTCACATTGGCTTTATTTTACTTCATTTTGCCCCCTGGGGGATGCCCCCCTCCCCCTTTCATCAACTCTGACTTTGTATGGGGTCTGCTCACGAGTCCAAAAACGTAGAGGCCAGACCGTGGCCGAGTATTTCGCTTTGGTCAAAATGACGGTTATTTCTTTCCTATCTGAGATTACCGCGTTTGGTTTTGCCTTTGCAGCGAGCAACGAATAAAGCAATAACTGGAAGCGAGATTGTCACACCCTTTAATGAGCTGGCCGGACGGGGGGGGAGCGAGAGCGAGCCGGGCCTCCCGCGGGGGTCGGTTTCTCTGCCCAAATACAGTGAAGCGCCATGAGGGGAGTCGCAGGTGCGCGCAGGTGGTGGAAGGACGGACGGACGGACGGAGCTGGCCGACGTCAAGAAGCACGTTTCTCTTTAGTTCCGGGCAGGCTAGAAAAGCAAAGCTTTTTTCTTCAGCTCGTTGCGTTTCCAAAGTGCAAGTCGTTCAAATTGTTCCACGCTCATTTTGAAGACCTCCTGGAACTCCTCGGTGGAGAGGTGGTGCTTGGAGACAGAGAACGGACACGGTAAGGACTTCAAAGAGAGGCAGGCGAGATCCACGTTACGCAGCAGACCAGAAACCAAGGGACTGCAACGTTGTGGATCAACCCACAACCTCTGTCTACAGAGCAAGAACAGCAGATGCGGGTTAAGGCGGCTTCCTTAGGCCACAGGGCATTGGAAGGGTCCCCCCCCCCGCGCTCCGGAGGAAGCTGCCTGTACAAATGGAAGGGAGGGAAGGAGGAAAACTTTTGGCTCACAAACAGGCCCTTGGAAGACTTAATAATAATAATGATAAAGTTGGAAGGGACCTTGGAGGTCATCTAGTCCAACCCCCTGCTCAGGCAGGAAACCCTATACCATTTCGGACAAATGGCTGTCCAGTCTCTTCTTAAAAACTTCCACTCTTGGAGCCTTCACCGTTTCTGGAGGCAGGTTGTTCCACTGGTTAATTGTCCTGACTGTCAGGAAGTTTCTCCTTAGTTCCAGGTTGCTTCTCTCCTTGATTAGTTTCCATCCGTTGCTTCTTGTCCTGCTTTCAGACGCTTTGGAGAATAGCTTGACTCCCTCTTCTTTGGGGCAGCCCCTGAGATACTGGAAGTCTGCTATCATGTTCCCCCTCGTCCTTCTCTTGACATTAAACTAGACATGCCCAATTCCAGCAACCGTTCCTTATATGTTTTAGCCTCCAGTCCCCTAATCATCTTTGTTGCTCTTCTCTGTACTCTTTCTAGAGTCTCAACATCTTTTTTACATCGTGGTGATCAAAACTGGATGCTTTGGAAACATCCGTTTCTACCACATACTTAAGAAAGTACCCACACACCTTAGTCAATTTGGGAATCCCTCACTGACTGTAATGCAGTCTCTCTCTCTCTCTCTCTCTTTCTTTCTCTCTCACTCACTCACACACACACACAGAGAGAGAGAGAGAGAGAGAGAGAGTTCGATAGAACGTCTAAGATGTGAAGGTATCCTTGAATTACATATTGGAATTTCAGTCACATGACCACAATTCTACTTCTTGTTTGTATGTGTGTGTGTGTGTGTGTGTGTGAGTGTATGTGTGTGTGTTTGTGTGTGTGTGAGAGAGACCTACATTTATAAGGTTCATTGGAATTTTAATCATTTAGTCACTTTTCACAGTTCTTCAAATTAACAAATAGTTGGCAAATGCTACGGAACCCCCACCTGTGCTGAGCTCAAGGCTGTTGTTACCTTCCAGGCAATGGCACGGCCTGTGAAATTACACCGTTATTAACCTTTAAAAACATCCATTCTTGAAATGTAGTCCTAGTAAAAAGTCCTCTAGCGGTGGGTTCTTTTTTTTTAGCAAGTTTAGGTCTTGAAATGTTTAGAGACCATCAAAGTGTGTGTAGTTACTTAGATCAGATGCCAATTCTCAAATCCCACACAAGACTCTTTTCTAACCTGGCCCTCTTCAGAACAGCTACCAAGTTGTAGCTTTACAACTTCTTAGCCAGTGTGAAAAAAGAAAATGAAATCTATCCATCTAAGACCAATTTTGGAAGTTCTGTGAGATGGGCTTGCTACGGTTCCCGTTTGCAATTAATCTCCAGGGTAACCGTGCCCTCCTTCCTTACCTCCAGTCTGGCTCTGTCCACATCCTTCGGTAGTTTTACCCGAACTCGGTTGGTGACAATGAGGGTTTCATACGGGTAGACCTGGGAGGAAAGGGGGAAAGTCTGAGTCCTGGAAGAACGGGCTCCTTGCCGCCATTTTTAGAGAGATGTACATACTTGCTCAGTTTTCACACGGAGTAAAGGAGAGACAGGAGTCAGCCTTTGGGGCGAAAAGGCTGAATTTCAACATGCTTTGATGTCCTTAGGAGCTTTCCTTACCTTGTATTCTGCAAAAGGCAAAGAAAAACAAATAAATCAGTGCAGGTTCAGCTAGAATCCAGTGTGCCTCTTTCTGCAATCTCCTGTTTTCTCTGGGGGAAAGCAAGGAGGGAGGGAGCCCCACCCCGAGGGGCCGGACTTTGGCCATCACGGGAGGGAGGGGGCGGCCCTGGTTTGCCTGGGGGCAGGACAGCTGCTACAGCCCCCTCACGCAGGGGGGGTCCCTTTGGGGCAGAGCAAGGGCTGGTCCTGCATCCGGCAGTGAGCGGGGTGTGTGTGTGTGAGGGGGCTGGCCGGACAGGTGCACAGGGACCTCTTGACCCTCTCCTCCAGCCTGGCCAGTTTATTCATCCATCCCCGGATTAGCAGAGACCAGAGGAGACCAGCTCCTTTCTTGCCCCAAGTTTCAGGGCGAAAGGAAACTTTACGGGGAAGGCTGGACGCTAAGCGGGTGCAGGGAGGAAGCGAGGCTGAGGGGGGGGCTTCAGGGCGGGAGGGGAGGGGAGGGGAGGAGGGGAAGAACAGGTGTGTGCTTCTGGAGCCAGAAGGACGGAGGAGGGAGGAGGAAGGGAGGGGCTGTCTGGCCGAGCGAGGGGGCTAATCCGGAGCCAGAGGCCGGCCTCCACTGACCCCTAAAGCATTACAGTTCGCATCCATCCCCCCCACCCCCGTATAGCCAGAGTGGCCCCAGTTTGTTTTGATGGTGGCTTTTGTGGAGCCCAGTTTGTGGGCTGCAGCATCCATCCTGTGGGGAAAAGGCCCCTTCGCCCCCCCTGCTGCCCCCCCCCCGAGGGAGGGTGGGGTGGACTAAGTACCTCTCTTCCCCCAGGCGGCCTCCGGGTCCTCCGGGCCCACCGCTGCGGCCTAGGAGAGAAAGGAGGATTTGATGTGTGTGTGGGGGGGGGAGGAAGGCTTGTGCAGAAGTGTAGATTTGTGTAGATTCCTACACAAGTTCACACACACACACACACACACACACACACACACACACACACTGCGGGCATCACAAGGCTATTTGGCAGGATTATGGGCCAAGCCCATCAACGGCCCGCATCGGGGTGGCTCCCTGGCTGAGGACTGGCAGGATTTGCTTAACGACGGCCATAGGGAGTGATGGCCGTTGCTAAGAGACGCAGTCACACGACATTGCACCTTGCAATAATCACACCGCTTAGCGATGGAAATTCTGGTCTTTGAGTGAATGAATCTCGGCCATCAGTAAATGCCCTCCCGTCTCCCACACCATCCAATAGACCTGAGGAAGCTCCCAGGATAGGAAGCGAAACGTCTTCTTTTCCCTCAAAAAAGCCAGCCCAGCTGCCTTTTCAAAAGTAAAAAAAACAACCCACTTTTGATACATTCTGATCCCGCACGTGGCCGTAATTCGAGGACTAACCGTAAATGAAATTGGGCTTAGCTCTTCGCTCAGTGTTGACTAATAAAATAAAACCCTCTGTGATGGCAAATTAATAACAATAATAATCCCCCCAACTCCGCCATCCTGGGGGGGGGAAGGAGGGGGGGCGGCGTGGGCCAAGAGGTTTTTCCAGGAGACCCCG